CCTGGTTTTTGACCTTTCTGGGCTTTCAACATTCCTTTGTCACTAAACTTAATCATATTTAGTTCTTCCTTTGAAGTGAGAGATATGTGAGTCTTCCTTTCACTTGAACATTGCGGGCCATTTTAAGGTTGTTAACAGGCTTAATTTCAACATTGTTGTGTCTCAGGGAATGAGGAGCCCTCAGGAGAGGAAGACAGGTGGGGAAAACGCAGTCAATAGAACTTGTTGAACACACACAACCTTTACTTATGACATTTGCCATCTTATACGGGTGTGGTTCACGGTGCCACAAAATAATAACAATCGAAGATCAAATATAATAACATCCAAGGTCAGTGATCACAGGTCACCATAACAAGTATAATAATAATGAAAAGTTTTAAATATTGTGAGAATTACCAAAATGTGACACACAGATACAAAGTGAGCACATTCTGTTGGAAACATGACACCAATAGATTTGATCAAATCAGAGCTCCCACAAACCTTCAATTTCTAAAAATCACAGTACCTGTGATGTACAGTAAAGGAAAGCTGAATAAAACTAGGTCTGCCGTAGTCTATTTACAAAAAGCAAGTTGAAACTTCCAATATGATTCTCTTTTAGAAGTTTTTGAGAAATTCTTTCGTTGTTTATTATTGCATACTCATGTGTGTTATCTTGAAATTCCACTAATCTCAGGGAATTTGGGTGAGCTGAGGATACTAACAACATTTAAGCTGTATTTTAGCCATTGCCTTTGTCTGGAGAACGTATCGAAAGCCTAAATATTTAAAACACATTATGGTATTCAGGTAATTACACATGGTAGGATGTCTGAATGTGTATAGTATGAACAATCCAAGTTTAAAAACATCATGATGGAGTTAGTAGCAAATAAAATATCTAAGCTTGTTATGCTATAATCCTCGTCATGCTTTGCATCTTGAAAACTTGCAAAGTGTTACCCAAATATCGTGATGATTTGGATCCACATCAAAATGTGCATGTTTAAAATAATGATAACCATGGTAGACCTATTTTTTTGGCTAGAGATATACAGATATTGCCGTTTCCAGACTGTGTGTAGATGATGGCAAAACTTGTTACTAACCAAATCATGAGAATTTTTATCATTTAAAATTTTTTAAATCACCACAAAATCTGAAAAAATATTCTGAATAAAACCAGATGTAGGAAGTTTTCTTAAAATCTCAAAACAGTAATGTAAATGAATAGTTTCATTGTTTAAATTATAGTTAAACTTTAGACATTAAAATAACATCAGGATTGAAGTATAACATAAACTCCCCAGGAGGAAAAGAAAAAATTAAAGCAAGGACTTTATACCTTTAATCGGAACCTGCTCTTTTTTATTCATTGTAATAAAATTATGTTCTATCAGGATTTCCTAAAGCTCTTTACTTACCTGCCTTTATTGACTAAATTAAGACAGAATACTATTATTTTCTTGAATGGCCTTATTATAGTGTGAGCATTTTATAAAATGTAAAAGTAGTGATTTTTTTTGGATTCTACTTTCTGCATTTATCATAATCTTATTAAGATATCTTCAGTGATTATCAACATTTAGCTTTCATGACCTGGGAACTTGATTATTATCTCTGTTTATTTTCTTGATCTATTGATTAAAACATCTCCTAAAGTAAATTATTGTTTGCTTCATTATATAAACTTCTTCACACTGTCTCAACATTTTTGTTAAATTATGTGCAAAATGAATTAAAATAGGCCATCATTACCTGTATTTATTGTAGATTAAAATTTGTTTCTTTGCCCATTACTCTGCTTTATGACATACTGCCAATCTCTATCCAAATCTGCATTTTGTTAGGAACATGCTCTTTAACTTTTGTTATGAAAATACATATGTCTCTAATAAATATTTATACCTACTATGATTATTTAGGCTTAAGCATGAGTAATATTGATCAACAGTATTCGCTAGTGTTGCTTTAAATTTTATTACAATATACTAAAGCTTTGTTTTTCTTTCTACTTGTTAGGAATGAGTTCTTTAATTTTCTTTTTATAATTTGTGTATGCGTGCGCATTTGTGTGTGCATGTTAGAAAAACAGAGACAGAGCTCACACTCTAAAGAGATCAAGCACAAAAGCTAAATACATGGATATGCAATCAATAACTGTTTAAATATGTACAAAAAAGGGAGGCTATAAAACGGTGAGAATTACAATTTTGAGTACAGTGCTCCTCTGTGTTATTAACCACTATGTCCTCTTCATTTTTCTTTAGTTCTATTCCCAGTACCATTTTTCTACCACAGAACTTGTCTCAAGCTGGATTCTCACAATTACCTGAGAGTTGCCTCTCTTCTATCTAGACTATCCTTTGCACCTACCCAAATTAAGTGTTCTATAATACTGCATTTAGTTCAGTGGTCTCCTTTCTCAACACCCATTCTCCATGGCTTTCTATTGCTTATTTGCCTTCAGGATAAATCAGTATCTGTATACTAACATGAACCTAACTCAAAGACATGTTACAGTGTGTGGTTTCCTCTTCATTTGTAAGTTTATCCCCTACTGTTCACTAATAATATCCTTGAGCCAAATAATATGTTACCACTTATGCAACCGTCCCTCTTTCTTTTCCAACCCTACTGGTTTTTCAGTGTTCCAGCATTTATGGCTGTGAAATGAATTACCTGAGAACTTAGTGGCATAAGTAAACATTTATTATGCTCACTAATTCTGTGGGCCAGGATTTGAACAGGACATCAGGGACAGGTTATCTCTGTTCTTCAGTGTCTAGGGCCTCAGCTGGATGACTCAAATGCCAGAGGCAAAAGTCATCTGGAGGCTACTTCAATGAGAAATTTAGGGGGTGACACTGACTATTGGCTGGGTGCCTCAGTTCCTCTTCACATGGGTTCTCCATGAGGGTCTTCTTATGCGGCCTCTTTGCGTAGGCTATTTTGTACTTTCTTACAGGATGTTGGCTGATTTCCCTACAGTGGCTTTCCGCAAAAGAGAAAGCCATATGGAAGCTGTATCCTTTTTTATAACCTGGCTTCAGAAGTCACATAGTATGATTTCCACTACACTCTAATAGCTGGAGCAATCACAGCCTACCCAGCTTTAAGGAAAACAGTAAAGAAAGTCTACCTCTTGGCAAAAAGTGGTGAGATCCTGGAAGAATGTATAGGACCAGAAATATCGGTGTGGCTCTTTTTTGTTGGAACAATGCCACAGTCAAGGACTGTAGTTTGTATCCCATGTGCTCTTTTAAATTCTCCCAGTCTATTATAGGCCATACCAACCTTTATTCATTCTGAACTCTTACAATCTGTGATCCCATTTACAACCAGTATATTTCTTTGAATTGTTAACATTCCATGTCTATCTGTTTTGTCTCCCCAACTATACTAATCATTACTTTAGCACAATAACCTCATTTTCCCACAGGAAAGTAAGGTCTGTATTTTTACTTTCCACAGGACCTAGCATACAGCTTTGGACATAGTAGGAGCTCAATAAACATCTAGATTAAAGTCAGATAGATTTAGAATGAAATGAAATTTTACGCATTGTAAATGAATGTGGTAGATAGTGTTTGGAAAAGAAGTGAATGGGTGATGTAAGGGATAGTGGTTACAATAGCATAGAAATAAGTGAGACAGGATCACCTAGTAAACACAAATAAATATGTTTATGAATGAAACATGAAAGCTTAAATGTCAATAAGGCACGATGGCAGTCAAAGGAAGGTACTTTTTTGTATCTTAGGTATTTAATTTGAAATTCATTTGTTTTTAAAAACTCATTTAAATAATTCAAATTATACTAATTGAAAGCATTAAACTTAACTCTGCTGACATTTGAGAGTTGACAAGAGGATCAATAGGAGTAAATATTTTAATATTTATTGTTATATTTAATATTTATTGTTATATTTAATATTGTAATATTTTTCAAATGTGTTTAGCTATATTTGAAAAAGCATTTTTATTTGGATTGTTTTTAATTTTTTAAATTTGAAAATAATGCATTCTGATGATAACAAGCCAAGATATATAAAGAAAACCCAAGAGATCTATTTCTGCCATTTCTATATTGAGGATTCTAATTGTGGCTTGGTGTGTTTTCACAGCTTGTTCCATGCTCATTTTGTATACTTTACACTGCTTACATATTATTCCTCATATTTATTGTTCATGCCATAATTTATTATTTTTAAATATGCAAGGCTCATGGCTATGTCAATGGTAACTTCTCTGTGTGATGATTATGGGATCTGATTAATAGTTATTGTTTTAAGAAGCTATTTCATAGACTTTGTGGCAAATGGGTAAATTTGATATTTTAATTCAAAGTTGAGTTTTTAGAGATATAGAAAACAAAACGTTGATGGGGAGGTTAAATTTTTCAGATGAAAACTCTATCTACTATATTAATTTGTTCACATATGAGAACGTGGTAATACTATGAAAGTACTACATAAAACTTTATAACTATTACTAACTGAAACACCAATGCTCACCAAATAACATCCTGGGATCTCAGCCTTGTTAAATGATACTAAAGAACACGTGTGATTTAAATTTTACTAAACGTTGTAAAAATTCATACACTGAAAATTATTTGAACATAAAATTTTCATGTTGATGGTAAATGAAGAGCATATTGCTTTTCAAACTCTCGCCAATCTCAGGAGTATTTCAACCTTGGACCATGAAATGAAAGAAAGAGAATGAAGATTGGTCAAGTGAAAATAGTAAAGTTCCAAATTCCTATCTGCAATAACTCATTTTACCAGATCCCATTCTGAAAAGTGGTTAAATTCATCTCTACGTATTATACATGTATGACACTGAGAACTATTTTTCTTTATATTCACTGGCATAATTTTTAAATTTCAGATATTAATTTAAAAAGCCTAACTACTGTACCTATGTAACTATAACCTACCTGAAACTAAAATGATTCTTGGTTACATATTAGAAGTTACATATTTACATATAACTATTGTGTATTTAAGATGGCTGATCACACTGAAGTAATGAAAGGCATTCGTCAATATCCAGGAGTTCGCTATCCTGTCCTTACTCCTAATCTTCAGGGTTTTCAGCGTGCTGTAAGTGTGCTACTAATATTTCTAAAATTTCTACGCCTCTTATAGTTTTAAAGATATTTACAAAGTTAAAATTGTGTCATATGTAACTCTCCTGTAATATAAATATATGCTAATGTACTAACATGAAGACATAGAGCTCCATATCCTCACAGCATTGGGGATTCAAGTGATCTGTATACCTGGCTCTTCTAGTTTAACTGTTCAAAAATTAAAACACGAAAGTAAAATTCTGCATTTTCATGAAATTTTTTAGAAGTGTATTTTGTGCTTCTTGTTAAATAATATAGAATACTATTTAAGCATTTCTCAAAGCCATTTTTATAGTTATAATTGTTGCTGAATTTTTAAATTATTTTTGTCAACCTTTGTTGGTCAGCTTTTTGTGTCTGTTATTTTCTGCCTCTAGGTGAGGCTAATTGTCATTGTATCTGGCTCTAGTTACTTTCCCTATTTATCTCCTGGTTTGTTACTTTCGATCCTCTGTTACTTAGAAATTGATAAAATTTAAATAAGGCTTTAATAATTTTACATATGAGAAGAGTCTCTTCAATTTTAAGGTATTACCCTTATGTGGGCTTATTGCAAATATTGAACAGCAGCTATTTCTGGTATTAATGAATATTTTTCACTTCTGTATGTGAAACTGTATTATGTAAAGCTGAGGTTGTGCGATATTAATTAATCAGCATATAACCTGTTAGTGTATTTTGTTAGAACCATTTATTTTTCCCTTGGGTTTGATTTGATGAAATCTTTATTGCATTGTTTAAAAAGTCATTTAAAAAATTGTAACTTTGGTGTCATAGTAGTCGTAACAAAATAAAGCACGTAACTTACACTGAAGGAGAAACTGCAAGGACACCCTGATGTTAACTTAGAGGGGTGAACAGTGGAGTAGAACTAATCTTGACTTGGGAGTTAAGCAATTCTGTGCTCAAAACATGACTCCAGAACTTCTATTCCCTGTG